CCCCAGCTGTCCTGGAACTCACTATGTAGAGCAGGCTGGCCTTGAACTCACAGAGATCCGCCTGCCTCTGCCTCCCAAGTGCTGGGACTATAGGCGTGCACCACCACACCCGGCTCTATTTATTTTTATTTTATGTGTACAAGTATAATGCCCACGTGTGTCGTGCAATGCCGGAGGAGAACAAGAGGTTGTAGATTCCCTGGAACTAGAGTCAGAGACGGTTGTTAACAGCCCTGCAGGTGCTGGGATTTGAACCTGAGTCTTAGGCAAGAGCAACCAGTGCTCTTAACTCCTGAGCCATCTTTCCAGCCCCTTTTTTGAGACAGGGTCTCCCTGTAGCCCCACCTGGCCTGAAACTCACAAAATTTGCCTGCTTTTGCCTCCCAAATGCTGGGATTAATGGTGTGCACCACCACTCCTGGTTTAGAAGGTGGTTTTATGTAGCTAAAATTTAATCTGGGAGTGGTGACACACACCTGTAATCCCAGCACTTGAGAGATGAGGCAGGAGAATTGGGAGTTTCAGGGCTATCCAGAATTATGTGAGACCTTGTGTCAAAAAAAACAAAAACAAAAACAAAACGGGCTGGAGAAATGGCTCAGTGATTAAAAGCACCGAGTGCTCTTGCAGAACACCTGGGTTCAAGTCCCAGCACCCACATAGTGGCTAACAACCATCCCTAACTCCAGTTCCAGGGGATGTGATACTGGGTACTGTACATAAAATAAGTCTTTTTTTTTTTTAAAAAAAATTTTTTTAAATGCTAGGCAATGTAGATCGGTAGTAAAATACTTGCATGGCATGCACAAGACCCTGGGTTCCATCTCCAGCACTGCAAAAGTATTAAGGCTTACTGGGAAGGAAGCTGAAGTCCAGTGAAGTGGTATGCGATTCTCCTCAGAGAGGTCACTGTAAACATCTATAAGGTCACTAGTGGGAGCAAGGAGAAAAGGGTTGCCAGTTATCCATATCAGTGAAGTTTGATGGAAAGAAATAGAGGATTTAGAAAACATTGATTAAGTAAACATTTTCCTGGCTGATAGAAAAAAAGTTCAGTTTTGATCATTTTCCTTGCTAGAAGTTTCTTCAGGTATATTAGGTAGCACTTAATAAACTGAAATGAAAATAGGACTAGGTTGCAACTCAGTGGTACAGCACTTAGCATGTATGAGGACTTAAGTTAAATCCCCAGCACCAAAAGAAAAAGAAAAAAAATATTTTCTACAGGATTTCACGAAACAATCCATTTAGTTAACTGAAATGCAGTATTTATGTTAATGTTACATGAATCTTTTTGGAAGCATATTTATTGTACAAAATGATTGCTACAACATTTATTTCATGATTACTAGATTGTAAATTCTTTGACAGCAAGATCATGCCATCTCCTATATTCTCCTTTGTGGACATTCAGTATAAGTCCAGGTACCCTGAATTAAATATCCCTTTCTGTTCAGGAGAGAGAGCAAGCCCAAAGAGAAAAGCATTCCAACATCCTGTGGATATTTCAGAGAAATTATTTTGTTCAGCTTGTGACCAGAGCTTCCAGAACCACCAGGAACAGGTAAAAGCCGAGGGTATAGAGCTAGATGTTAGAAGCAAATGTGTAATGGTGGTTGGGAAGAGGTAGACATTGGATTTGCCTGAAGTTAATAAAGATCCACTCTTTGTCTAATGCACTTAGTGTTACCAGGACATACTTCCTGGAGTTCTGTGAATAGTTTTGGCTGCTATATAAGGCTAAGCTGGAATAATTTTCACTTTCTACCCCCCTTTGCTTTGTACCCAGAGAGAACATTATAAACTTGATTGGCATCGCTTTAACCTAAAACAGCATCTCAAGAACAAGCCTCTCCTGTCTGCTGCAGACTTTGAAAAGCAGAGCTCCACAGGTAATACCTGGTGGAAGGCCTATATGGGAGCAGGAGATAGGGTGGACAGAGGCCCCACAAGGTTTGAAGAAAGGGCAAGCCAAGTGTGTGGCATATTCCTTTAATCATAGCACTCAGGAGGCAGGGGCAGGTGGATCTCTGTGAGATTGAGGCCAGCCTGGTCTGCATAGGGAGTTCCAGGACAGCTGGGACTTAGAGGGAGACTTTGTTTCAGAAAAAAATAAAAACAAAACAATGAAAAGGTCACAGGTGGAGTGCCAAACTTTTGTGTCCCATATTTGTCTTCAGGAGATCTTTCCAGCATCTCAGGATCAGAAGACTCAGACTCAACTAGTGAAGAGGAATTGCCAGTATCAGATGAGGAGAGGCCTGAATTTCAGAAGCCTAACCGACCACGAGGATTCTACCCTCATCGGGCCCTTTTCCAAAATGCCCAGGGCCAGTTTCTTTATGCCTATCGCTGTGTCCTAGGCCCTCGCCAGGCAAGTAACAACACAGATTGTGTGATCAATCTCAACTTTTTGTACACACTCAGCCAGTCCATGTGTTACTTCTTCCTCCTTCCTTTTGGGTAAGGGTATCACACTTGACAGCATAACTTGGATTCAAACTGGCCTGAATCTTGAAAGGGTCAAGTGTAATAGAATTAAGTTTTAAATTATGATTCTGCCATTCAGTCTTCTACCACTACCACTCCAAGCCTCAAATTATTTCCATCTTTGTGAAGTGGAAACGAGGCTCCAGTTGCTGTAATGAGTGAGATAACGTATGTGAGGCACTTAGCACAAGCACTTGATTTCTTGTTCAGTGAATACAGCAGGTAGAATGTTTCTCTTGCATCTGTCATCTAGGTTCCCCCAGAAAAGTCAGAATTGCTGCTCCGGAACCTGCAAAGTGGAGGTCCCAGATACTGCATTGTGCTCATGGCTTCAGCAGGGCACTTTGCTGGTGCCATTTTTCAAGGGTGAGAGGGTGCTATATGGGGTAAAGATGGAATGGATCCTGTTAGCTTGGGAGCACCAGGTGGTCTCCAGTACTGAGTCTGTACCATCTACAGAAGAGAAGTGGTGACACACAAGACCTTTCACCGTTACACCGTGCGGGCCAAACGGGGCACAGCTCAGGGGCTTCATGATGCCCAGGGTAGAGCATCACGCTCTGCTGGAGCCAGCTTGAGGCGTTACAATGAAGCCATGTTACATAAGGTGAGTTAAGCCTCCCAGATCTGGTTGTCCTTTGATCACTCAGTTCAATTCATTAAAGTTATAGTAGAGAGGTTTTAGATTGCCATATCTTTCCAGTTTTCTGAATAGACAGAGTAAATAGGGATCTCCAGAAGCATGCCCTCATTCTTTCTTCCTATCTCCCACTCCCTGCACAGGACCAGAGGGCCATGTTTTTGTTCGGAGGGTTTTAAAAATACCAAATGAAGATATGCTGAATGGAGTTACTCTCTTTAGGACATTCGTGACCTGCTGGCAGGGCCAACATGGGCTAAAGTGCTGGGGGAAGCAGAAACAATACTGCTACGTGCCCCCGGATCTAGTCGGTCTTTGTTCTTTGGAGGCCGGAAAGCACCTCTGCAAAGGGATGATTCCAGGCTTTGGGATATCCCCCTAGCCACCCGCAGACCCACCTTTGGAGAGCTTCAGCGTGTACTTCATAAGCTGACCACCCTGCATATCTATGGTGAGCTTCTGGTCCTAATACCCAGGACCTGTGTATCCATAGGGTTTTCTAACCCTTGGACTGTAGTCCAGTTACATTTTGGAGAGAAACCTGGGCTGGCTTCTCCTCACCTATGTTTGAGAAAGCTCTTTTGTTTCATGACAGATGAAGACCCTCGGGAAATTGTCAGATTTCATTCACCTCAAACACAGAAGGCAGTAAGAGTGGAGAGGAAAAAGTCCACTGAGAAAGAGAGAACAAAGGTCCTTAGTGAAGGAAATGAGGCACTGGGGCAGGATGAAGAATCACTCAAACAAGGTTTGAGCACCATCTGGCAATTGTCCAATATATCTATCTGGGTGTCTATCCTAAAAATGGAGTGGCATCTTCCAGTTGATAGGTGGTCCCTTGTACCATACCCACATCTCCACCATCATGTTTATAAAATGAAGTGTTTTATTAATCAAACATTTTTTCTTTTGTTTTGAGACAAAGTCTCACTCTAGCCCATGCTGGACAGAACTGTGTAGCCCAGGCTGGCCTTGAAATCATGGCAATGTTCCTGCCTCAGCCTCCCAAAGGCTGGGTTTACAGGCATGAGCCACCACACCCAGCTGGGTTTGTTTTTTTTTTTTTGTTTTTTTTTTTGAGACAGAGTCTTAATGTCTAGCCCACGCCGAACTGGAGCTCCCTCTAACCCAGGCTGGTCTCCAATTCACTGTAGATTACACTGAGATTACAGGCATACACTACCACACATGTCAACTGAGATATATTTAATGACCTATTATCCTGTTATCTTTTTTGTTCATGGATATCTTCCTGGTACTTAGAGAATTCTTAGCATAGAGGGAATATGTTGCTTGAGTCTCATTGGATGCTGTGATGTGAGCTAAGGGTTGCTTTCTTCTACTCTGTACCATCCTAATGCTGTTCATTGGGAGTTCCAGGGACAAAATAAAAATGCTTCATTTCAGGATGATCTGGATTATCTTTTTATAAATGTAAGTGCATCTGAAGCCCATATCCTTCCACCCTCTGCTTATTCATTAATTGGGTCTATCATCACGTTTTTTTTCCTAGGTTCAGAGTCGCAGGGAGAAAATGGCTCCCAGGTAGAGTTGGAGCTAGTAGAGTTGACATTGGGGACCTTAGATCTTCGTGAATTTGAGGTATTGCCCAAGCGGAGGAGGAGGAAAAAAAAGGAGAGAAGTCAAGACCAGCATGCTGGGGCACATAGGACTTTTCTTCAGCAGCCTCAAGACGATGAACCATTCTCACAGTCAGCCCAGGCAGTTGCAATGGGCACTTTGGTTGATGAGGCCAAAGCCCTTGATCAGCCAGAGCTCTGGGATGTTCTTCTAGCTGCTTGCCGAGCTGGGGAAGTTGAGGTGCTAAAGCTCCAGCTAACTGCTGGGCCTGTAGACCCTGTAGTTATGTCCCTACTCAATGCCCCCCTGGGCTCTGGTGGCTTTACTCTCCTGCATGCAGCAGCCGCAGCTGGAAGAGGTACAATAGTTCGTCTGCTGTTGGAGGCAGGTGCTGACCCCACTGTACAGTAAGTATCTGCATCCTGAGCCAGTTTGGGTATGTAGAGGATAATCTGGTGTTGGCATTGGCTACTTGACATTGTTTCCTTAGTTTGGTTGGGTGATGGCAGGAAAGGCAGGAGGGAAATTGAGCCCAGTTTTTGGTTTTTACCCCTAGGGACTCTAGAGCTCGGCCACCTTATACTGTAGCAGCTGACAAATCAACACGTAATGAATTCCGAAGGTTCATGGAGAAGAATCTTGATGCCTATGATTACAAGAAGGCTCAGGTGAGCTGGAAAAGGAGCTGTAGTGTGGGAGGGCATCATAGATCCTCACTAGGTCTTTTCTACTCGCAGTTTACAAAGGATATAGTTCGTAGGAGACTTAATATCCTTGGAAATCCTCTAGGTACCAGGGCCACTGACTCAAGAAATGGAAGCCCGGCAGGCTAGAAGGAAAAAGGAGCAGAAGGCAGCTCGGCGGCAACAGGAACAACAGCAGCGGAAACAGAGGGAGCAAGAGGAACAGGAGCAAGAAGAGCAACGGCGATTTGCTGCTCTCAGCGACCGAGAGAAGGTGAGGCCATAGACTCTTGCATAGCAAGGCTTCCTTAAGAGCCTTCATCCCCTCCCCAGTGCAGCTGTCACTTCTTGAGTATGTTATTCACCACTGGAAACTTGCCTTAAACACCTTTTCTGTGTCTTAGAGAGCTCTGGCTGCAGAGCGCCGACTAGCTGCCCAGTTGGGAGTCCCTAGCCCTCCAATTCCTGAATCTACAGTTGTCAATGCTGGGTATGGGACCATGGGATGGGTGAAGGGATGGACTCCTGTGTTGTAGGAGAAGGGGAATTAATTTGGGGGAAGGGGAATGAATGCTGTGTTGTAGGAGAAGGGGAATTAATTTGGGGGAAGGGGAATGAATGCCTACAAGATGTTCAGAAGGGAAGCTGAGGGGATTGGAGATACCCTGGGATCTTTAAGGGCTGAGGAAAGCTTAGATTGGAAAGTTTGTCCAGTCATTTTTTCCTTTTGTTCAGACGCTGCTGGAGTTGTGGAGCGTCCTTCCAAGGCCTCATCCCCTTTCACTACTTCGACTTCTCTTTCTGCTCCACACGTTGCCTCCGAGATCATCGCTGTCAGGCAGGGAAGCCTTCTTCCTGATTTATTATAGCCACCTGGGGCCAACTCTAGGCCTCAGAGGACACACATAACTATAGCTTCCTCCTCATGAAGCTCAAGATTATTTGGAAGATCAGGGTGAAGGACACTCAGGCAAAGACAGGGCCACAGAGGTATGTGGAGCTGGTACTGTCTTTGGAACTTTAATCACAATAAAGTTTGGCAAGAAAACTGTACTTGTACTTAACATTCAGAGGGATTGTAGCCTTTGATTATTTATGGTCCCTGTGGCCAGCACCAGAGGATCCTGCCCTATATCCCAGGTTTAAGGGTCTTCAGTGCCCACTTAACTCCATTGGTTCATACGTATTTTGTGCTTCTGAGAGAAAATAGGTATACCCCCCATGCATAGTGCTGTTGAAGATAGGCTTATCCAAAAATTGGATTTTGGGCTCATGAGGCACATTTTCTAGCTCCAGCAATGTGATTTTGTTCATGGCTCCCCTAGGAAACAGCAGGAGTCTTGGCACGTATAGGGTCTGTTGTGGCCCCCGCTTTGTCCAGTACCGGCCCAAGTTAAACCCATTGATCCATACTTGGCCCTGGGGGAAGGGATGGAGTGGAAAAAGAAATGGTCAGCTCTCCAGTGGGTAGAATTATCTCTTTCCAGGTTTCTAATCAGATGAATAATTTATTCCCATTTCATTTATTTTTTTTTAAAATCACCCCATCCCCCAACTATCACTATTAGCAATACCTTGTTCCATCCAGGTAAATAGAGAAATGTGTCCCCAATTGAGCCTAAAAGTGGAAATGATGTGGAGTAGAAGGCAGGGCCAGAGGAAGCTTGAGACTGTGATCTTTTCTGCAGCTGGAGGGGAAACCACCACCTAACAAGCTTATCAACTTTCAGAGGGAACATCATCCACTCGGTAAGGATTGTTTGCCCCAGAATTGGTGGCTCTAACAGGCCCTGTGGAGAAGCATATGCAAAGTCATCATTCACTGAGTTAAAGGCCCACACTATAATTGAGCTTTAGAGTATAACTGTGGCCATGCCTGTACCCTCATAAGCCACTATTTCTCTGCCTAACTCCTAAGGACAGGGTCCTTCCATTTAGGCCCCCATTCTTCCAAGATGGTCAGTAAGGGAAGAATAGGCAAAATCAGCTTACCTTGAAGTCACTGTGGTTAGACCCAAAACTGAGCCTCCCCATATTCTCAAGCAAGATATCCAGCTTGGCCCCTATTTTCCCAGTCAAAAGTAAATGGTGTTTCATATTTCGTTCCAGAATACCCTTGAATACCTGTGGGTAAGAGATAGGCTTTGTGAAAGGAAGGGCTCAGCAGTTAGCTCTTGGCCGCTATGTAGAGAGTCACATTAGACCACTTATTTGGAGGGCAAAGAGAATGTAGCCACCTGTCAGCCATCTACCATCCTTCCAAAACTGCTTTTTTGAGACAGTCTCTATGTAGCTCAAGCTGCCTTGAACTCACTATATACCCCAGGCTTGTGATTCTCCTGCTTCAGCCTGCTGAGTGCTGGGAATGTGCCCCACCATGCCTCTAACTGGAACTCCTTTATCCTTAATCACACTCTTCTGTCATCTCAGTTTATAATCCTGAATCCTCTATAGATGTGGGAGACAGGAAGGGATGGAGATGGGGGAAACTTTAAAGCTATAGGCTACTGGGGAAGGGAGGAAATTGGGATTATAAATTAGTCAAGAGTTAGGTTCTTACCCCATCAATCATCACATAGGCTCGGTCATGAACTCCATTATTTGGCACCCAGAATCTTGTTGGTTCAAAAACAGTGTAAGTCAGATAAGTTCGGTATAACATAAAGCCATGGGCCTACGTATGACAGAATGAGCGCTTTCAGACAAACTGGGAGAAAAGGGCACTGTGGGAAAGACTAGTAGCTAGAGGAACTTCTGACTGTAGCCTTTGAAGTCTATCATTCCCATAGCTATGAGTTTTATGCTGTACCTGCTTCATTGCCTCAAAGGTCAATGGCAGAACTGAATGGATGGGGCCATGTGGGCAGAGAAAGTCTAGGAAAGCCAACAAATTCCCATCCTGTAAGAACAAGGGGCAATAATCAGGGTATAGGTAAGTTTCTGGGTTGGTCAAGGTAGGCAATTTAGAAAACGGTGATGTAAAATCAGAAAAGATAGGGAGGAACTTACCAGGTTCAGAGTCAAAGGTCCAAGCTTTATCTTGGGGCTGGGGGGAGGTAAAGGTCCCAACGGAATTTCCTGGAACTAAGCCCAAATTCTCTGAGTAGCCATAGGAAAACTCTCAAAACAGCCTAAAGCCCTAAAAGAAGGTTCTTAACCTGGAGCCCAGGGATGAGCTTCAGGGGGCCATGAAGACCCTATAATTTTGAATACATGTGTAAGTTCTCCAGATAGTCCCATTTGAGTGGAATTTTTCCATAGGATTCTCAATTTACAAAGACACCCTTCTCCCAACTTAATAAAAAGGCACCTTGCTGATGACATTTCGAATAGCAAAAAGCTTAGGAGTGGGGTCCCCTGCTTCAGATATGGGTGCATCGTAGTCGTAGCTGGTGGTAATTGGAAGGAAGCGTCCCTTCTCATCAGCACCTGGGTTAAAGTAGTTTAATTAATTCTTTTTTTTTTTTTTTTTTTTGTTTTTTTGGACAGGGTCTCCCTGTAGCCCCAGCTGTCCTAGAACTCACTATGTAGACCAGGCT